TTACAGGGCTAAATTAAGTGGTCATAAGCATCAACAGCTTCCCCCTTTAGACCATTTCCAAGACCTCTAAAAAGGGGCAACCAACCGGTGTTTATTTTATTAGAAATAATGATCAGTGTCTAATTGCCCCTCTCTTGTAGGTCTGTGGATCGGCCCGTGGGCCGCCAATGTTTGATCGCCAAACTGAGTTCTGCTTTATAAACTTAATCAAATATTTTTATGCTTAGCAGTTAGTTTTGATTTTAAAAAGAATTCAAAACTTCTTTTTTAAACGTAATAACAACTTTCAGCCAAAAAAAATTGGACTAAACTCAAAATTTACTCTGGCGGTTGCAGTGGAGCACTGTGCCATATGTTGGTAAGCCTGCAAATCTATTGTTCAAAGATTTCTAAATTGCAGATTACATCACATATATTTTCTTCCTCCTGGGTAATTAATCGTCGGAGTTACCGTAAATTAACATTGCAATATGGACAAGGATTTGTTGAAGTGGCTGTCTGCAGATCATTAACAACTAAATTTAAAGTCAGCTACAAAAACAAAAGAAATACAATCTAACCTAATTAGATTAAACAGCAGTTTTATTTTTTATAAGATTCTTTAATTTGAGGTACTATACAAAGCATTATTAATCTGTGAACACCTGTTAACTTTCATTTTTTGCTAGCTGTATCCCCTTTAGAATACAAGGATCTTTTTTTGTTAGGAAGGCTTAGTTCCTCTGACTTTTTGAACTCTTCAGCTTCATCCTCGGTTAATTCACAATTTAGCTCTGGGTGATAACTTTATGATAAAATTGTTGCTCAGATTATTAGAAAGCCTGGCCTCCTTCAGCCATTACCTAAATTAGGCAGATTTACTTCTGAAAATTATATTTTTTATTACAAATTAATTTTTAATGTAAATATAAAGCACAATCATACCTTAATGTATACTTTTTCATTAATCTCTCTAGCTATTATCAAGGCATCCACAACATCTTGTGAATCTGCCCGACAAATTATTCTTTTAGATTTCCGACAATTTGTTTTCTTTGATTACTATTTTAGATTCACCTTCTACATCAAACATATCTTGTGTAGCCTTTTTACCTATGTTGGATCTGATAAAATTAGTAAATTTCTCCATCACATTTGAAGATTCTATAGTATTTACCTGAAATTTAAGCTAAAAATTGATATAGCTAAAAATTAACTTTTCAAGCCTTCGCTTGAAAAGTTAATTTTTTTGTCTATATCAGTTTTATTTGGTTTTAAAATGATTTGTGATTTGTATTTGTCTTTTAAAAAAAGTTTTAAGCAGATTTTTTTTTTACTTGAATCTTTTTAATTATCTGCCTTAGTTTTAAGAAATGAATTTATAAACTTGTCTTTTTATTTTTCTGGTAAGGTTTTGTTTAAAATTTTTTCAATATTTTTTGCTGATTTTGTTTTCTTGCAATAATGGGACAGTCCTTTTCGAATTTCTGATTTGCAATACGCGCAAATAATTATTGAATTTGCACCTTTATTACCTATAAACTTTGAATAGAAATATTACTCTCTTTGTTTATTTTTATATGTATATATAAATTCTGTCAAAGCTTATAATATTTACATGAACAAGATTTTAAAGAAACCTTCCTGATTCCAGGAGCAGCAAGTAAACCACTGTCTTCAGTAATGTTAAAAGTCAATCTTCTTTTATAACCTCTTTCTCTAACGACGGGTTGATGACTAATATATCTTGCTGTGATGCAAACATAGCAATTACATTGCATATCTCCTTTAATTTTAGTTTCTTTTATCAATAAAATGTCTACATAGTTTGGCATTTTAGGCAACTTTCTATTTTCAATATCTTTGTTTCACTCATTCAGTGTTATTCTGGTAACACATATACTAAGAGAATATTTGCTGTTTGCTATGTCAAAATCTTAATTTATATACATTTTAATTAGTTCAGCTATCTTTTCTGTAATTGCAAATGGTTGAGACTTTTTTTTTTTAATTATTTTTATCCCACATGGTGCACACACTTTTAATCTAGATTCATCATGATTTGCTGATTTGTGGGGCATATCTTAAATATAGTACTCAAAACTTATTTTTAAAGACTTAGTTCATAATTTTGCAAAAAATAAAGATGTCAAAGATAAAGACTTTATTTTTATAGGCATAAAAATTATCATAGTTATTACTTCTCACAATTATTGTCATTTCTGTTTATAATTACTTGATAAAAACTCAAAATTTTATTAATTTAGTTTAATAGAGTATTTTATAGAATTATTTACGAATACAAAATTATTTTAATTAAAAACCAAAAAAATACACAAATGATCTAGTTATTCTATCAAGTATTTAAACGGGGCATTGACGTTTTTAGGAAAAAACAGTCGATTTGAAAGTCATTTAAAAATCTTGGATGAGCAGCTAGGATTTTAATTTCAACAGATTTATGATGTAAAAAAAAAAATTCTTAAAGGATCTGGAAGCAGTTTTCGTTGACATTTTTATTAATCTTGAATTTGTCGAAGGCCATTGTGTTTTGTTTTAAATTCATTTTATTCCAGTTTTATGACTTGAGTGCCAATACTTAAACAATTTTATGATTTAGTTGCAAATAGTAATATGTCCATTTGTCAAAATATAACTAAATAATGATACTACTTTTGTGTTATTTTACAATATTTTGAAAAAAATTATGGTAAATGCTTAAAATCATGTATTTATCACAAAAACATCACCAAGTAAGTAAGTAAAAATGTCATACATAATATGTACAAAATTTAAACGTTCAATACGTTTTTTTGGAGTCCTTAACGTAAGAAAATATTTATGCGCTATTAACACGAAAAATTCTTAGAATGTACTCTCGAGTCCCTTATAAAAAAAAGGAGGGGGGAAACATTTATTAATTTGTGAAAAATTTTCCCATCTACCCCAAGCTTTACATAAGACTTTATATAATAATAATTGAAGAAACAATTTCTTGGAAAGCCCATATAAAAACAATAAATACAACAATATCAAAAAGTATTGGCATACTTTACAAAGTCAAACCTCTACTATCCAAGGAAAATCTAAAAATTCTCTAATAAAATTCTCTATAAAACTTGAATGCTTTAAATATCTATCAAATTAACATCTACCAAAATATTTTATTTATGCTCAAATATAAGCTTGGGCTTGTCCCAACTCATTTTACTAATAACTACTTTCAAACCAACGCCAACAGATATATCACACGAGGAACCGGAAACTTTACGTTGCCCATAAAAAAAACAAATTTTTCGCAATTTTCAATTGTATACCGTGGCCCCTGTTTATACAACAAAATTATGCCTCAAAATATAGAACTTACTAAATTGGATAATCTTATTGCCCTCAAGAAAAAACTATAAGATCTCATAATTAACAAAACCAATTTTATCGATATGTATTTAATATAAAAGAACAATTAATACAATAAAATATAAAAAGAACAATTTAAGCTATAAAAATTAATAAAGAAATAAAAACATTAGTTAAAAAAATAATAATAAATACATATAGTTAGCAACTATACATAGTAAAATATTACTGAACAGATGTCTTCGAAAAGCATGTGTTTTATAGATTTACTCTTTAAATTTTTAGTTTATTTTGTCTTTTAAAGGTTCTCGCAGAAAATTAAGAAAAGATTTTTCTTAGTCTTTGGAGTTTCCTTACAACTACATAGTACTATTAATATATATTAACATAAAGTTTCAACGACAACGACAAGCAATTCCCTAGTAGCCCTGTGTTGCGACAGAATTGCGTATATTTTTTAAATGCATGGGTTATACCCAGCACATTTTATTATAAACCACAAATTTTTTAATTTATTATTTTAACTCAATGTCAAACGCGCATGCGTAAAATAGTTGACGCTCTTTATATATTGTAACTTGTTAAAGCTCTTTGTATTTTCTAATTATTTGAGGTGGACATTTATATAAACTGGAGACATGTAAATGTTATTTGTTTTTGAAATATATAATAACAATTGTTGTAAAAATTAAAAAAAAAAAAAAAAAAAAAATTTGACATTATTCTTACTATAGTTTTGATTGTGTTATAGATTAGTGCAACTCGTATATATTGATTGAAGACTTTAGTTGATATTGTGAATAATCAGAATCAAACGGATGCAGAGTTGTTAACAAGGCGAAAAGTACCAAGGCCAAGGCTACAAGTTACAAGGTCAAGATCAAGGTCAAAAGTTACAAGGCCAAGATTTTTATGGTCAAGGTCAAGATCAAGAGAGTTTCAAAGCCAAGGCCTACGCAAACATTTTCAAGACCAAACACTTCAATTTAAAAGTGTCAATCCACATCTCCTAAACTTTGTGTAACTTGCTCAGCACCATAAAAGATAGCATCATTTAGAAAATACCTGTCGTTGCTGCTGAAATCTGAGCAACTCATCGTTAGTTTTCTTTTTAAAATTTTAATGTTAGTTGAGAAAAGCGATTAATCATTAAAACAATTAACGTGTTGTTGTGATGCAATCAATGTGATTTTGTGTTGCGATTAAATGTTGTAATCAAATTATTTTTAAAAGTAGTAAAACACTCTACAATTTAACATATATATCTATATACAAACAAAGTTTACACAATTTTATGATACTATCAACAAAAATATATAATAAATAAATAAAACAATTATTCTAATAAATCAACAAAATGTTAATTTTTGTTATAATGTTATATTCATGCATATATATATATATATTATATATATATATATATATACGCAGATACGTAACTATCAAAACGATATATATCTATTATAGATAAAACAATAGTTTTATTGTTTTTCTAAAAGTTTGAAAAAATTTAAAATTTTTTTTCTAAAAATTTTAGACATAACCAAATGTTAAATGATCAAATAACCTTTGAATTTTTTTTTTTAATTTAATATCATTTAATGGAATAAAATAAGTTAATCTTAAAGATTAAATTTTTTAGAAGTAAAAAAATATAAATCTAATTAACACGTGACCCTAAAGACAGTGTGTCATATTTATTTCTAATAAACTTTTTCTTAAACAAACTCTGAAGCCTGTATTTTCTCAAAGCTTGTCAAGCTACTACTTTCAACTATGGTGCCAGACTTGGTTCGTTTTGTTACTACTTTATTCATTGCAATCATTTCTGCTAGCTTGAGCAACATATCATCCACACCGGTGCCGTGGCGCGCTGAAATTGGGTACACGTGCCAATTTACTGATTCAACAAGACTATCTAGTTGCAATTTTTGTGCAATATAAATTGGTGACACCGAAAACGACAAATCTTGCTTATTGGCGACAATTAACACTGGTATGCCTTTTGTCTCTTTACTATTTACAATTAGTTCAAGTTCTATTTTTGCTTCATCAAAACGCTCGTGGTCTGAACTATCAATTACAAAGATAATAGCGTCTGACTTTCTAACATATGCTTTCCATAAAGGGCGAAACGCAGATGATCCTGTAGTATCCCAGATATCTAGTTTGATATTTTTTAGTACCTGAATAGTTTTTGCATTAAAAGCTGTTGTTGGAGCTGGGCTAGGTATTTCTTGTTTAAACATTATCTGTAAAATAAAGTCGTTTTACCTGCGTTATCCAAACCAATTAAAACTATTCTTAACTGCTTACAGAAGAAGTTGTACGAGGTTAGGTTGCTTATACTGTTTCCCATGGCAATGCTATTTTAGTTAAAACTAAATATATATATATATATATATATATATATATATATATATATATATATATATATATATATATATATATATATATATATATATATATATATATATATATATATGTATAAATACAGTTGAAAAGCTTGAGTAAAATCAATTACAAATTAATCAAAACACGATATAAATTTTTCACAAAAAAAAAAAAGCTTTTACATTTAAAGGATTTTATAAACCTAAATCTACTCAGATAATAAAGGATTAGTCCACCACGGTTGCCTAGTAATATTTTTATTGGGATATTATTTTTAATTGAATTTATAGTTTAGAAAGCCAATTTAAAAGTAATAATAGATCAATCAAGTTTATAAAGTGACGCTGTTTTTTTAAACAAGGAAGAAATTTCGTTTACAATCGCGTTTACAAATAGTAACTTTGTTTTTTTAAATACACGCTGTTGTTTTTTAATTAAACACAAGTAAATGCAAATGATATGCCGTAATAGGTTTTTTATAACAAAGTATATCGTAATATATATTCGTTTTTGAATATACTAAAAAAAATTTTTTAGTATTTATAAAAAGTTATTTTTATTATATTGCAACTTTTTTTACATAAAAATATTAATATTTTTACATAAAAATATTTAATTTGCTCCTAATATGTTTCATAATATGTTAATAAACTTATTGTTATATTCTCAAAAAGTTAAAATTTATGAGTATTAAAAAAAATATGCCACTAAAACTCTTTCTAAAACAACATGTTTATATTAGGCACTTTAAAAGCAGTTGATGAAAAGTTGTCTGTAATATAGCAAGCAGAAAATGGCATCAATCGTAAAGCAAATAACAAAATTTTAATTACAGTGTAAAATATGAAAGAGGCTAAAATATGATACTCTTATTTCTGTTTCCTGCCCTTTTTGATTTAGTTATTTTTGTTAAATATGATGCTTTGCTAATTTATATATCGAATACTACTTTATTTTATACTAGTAAATTCAAAGGCGCCTTCGTGTTTAACAATCTCTTTTAAAACTTTTTTTTTTTTTTTTTTTTTTTTTTTTGTAGAGAAGTGATGAAAAACGGAAAAGCCAAAGCAATATACATACCACGAATATCTCATAAATATTAAATTTAAAAAAACCCGTTTTTACCAACCACTAGCTTGTAAAGATTTCATTTATTTTGAGTTCAATAATATAACTGTTTTAAAAAAAATTATTTTGTATAATGACTAATTATATTATGCAAATAATTCAAAATCGTACTTATTATATACTTTTAATTAAATAAAAATTTACTTATATTGTAAACGAAGTAAAATTTTTGATTTTTTTAATTGTGTACGAACTGATATTAAAACATTTAACTGGATAACGATGTTCAAACTAATTGAATAATTACGCATGATTAGTGAAAATAATTTGTATTTAATATTTTAATTAACTGCTAAAATTTAATAAATTACAGCTTTATGGTGGGATCAGGAAACCAGCTAATCAGTGATCAGTGAAAATCTGTTATGGCGTTTATATTTTGTCAAAAAAAAAAAAAACTAATGGTTTTTGGTAGCTTTAATTGCAAAAAATGATGTAACATGATGGTGTTGCACTGCCACCATGCAACATCACAAAAAAACATATTTTCTGTATATGGAATAAAAGGTTTGTTCGAGATCTGAGTCTTGGAGATCAATGGTATTTTGCATGATGAGGTTAACGGTGTCAGATAACGTCTGGTTGCTGGAATATTTTGCACATCATCGGAAGAGAGATTACAGATGATAAATGGTGTCTTTTTATTGGGAAATCCTCGTGAGCCAAAAAAGTAACCAACTCATTAATAAGCATATCATTTTTATCAATATTTTCAATAACGTCTACCTTTTATTGAGTTGGTTTTGTCTCTTTTCTTTTCCATCATAAATAATTTAGAAGCAGTAATAGTCATATCTTAGTAATTAACAATATCATCAAGAAGCTTTATTGGTTTACAAACAAATATTAGAATATCCAATATAAGGTGTTTTTTCGTGTGATACTCTATAATCATCATTATCTAAGTTCATGTATTGGATAAAGGGATGTCAAAATACTACATAACCAAGCAGGGTACTTTTTTAATACTAAAGAAAACGAGTCAGCAATAAAGATCTTACCTTGACAGGCATATTTTGTCATTTGTAATCTTATCACCAAAATAAACATAATATTCTATACAGGGGTGGGACCGCAAAATGTGAACGTTTTTGTTTTATTATAACTATTTTCTCGTTAGATGTAGTTGTACTCTCTCACTCATCAGAAAGTGTCTAAAGAGTTGTTAAATATGAACTATTTTAAATAAGAATGTCCAACCATTGGACATTCTTATTTAAAATAGTTCATATTTAATAGAAAATTAATTATTACAATCAGAAAAGTGTTCGCATTTTGCGGTCCCACCCCTGTAGTTGTATTGTAAAACCAGATACAGAAAAAATACCATGTTGCGTATCTTCTATAACGTGTATCCATTTTGAAGTTAACTTATATGTAACGAAAAGAAAGTATTTGTTAACTCAAAACATTGTTTAAAGGCACCAGTAGTTAAGCAATTTGGTATGACGATTATGATAGGCATAATATATGTAAGAAAAAATATTTTTATTTCATTAAAGCATTTCTTACCTTACCTCTCGGTTATTGTTTCTATAGAAAGTTATCATGACATTTATTGAAATCATATTTAAAAGGTGCCTTGAAAAGTATTTCTGTTAAGATAAATTTATGTAATAACTTATGCAATAAGTAAATCTCTAAATCTCGAAAGTTTAACATATAAAAGCTAACAACCGTTTGGAAATAATAAAAGTGGTTATCACCTTTTATTTTGGTACCTAGGTATAGAAAAGCAGTTTATTAATGAAAAAAATATTTTATTGTTCACACTCTATTTTTTTCTAAAGTTAATTTTTAGTAAGCTCAGATTTTACTACTTCTTTAAAAAAATTCATCTGTATCAAAGAAAACAATTTTAAATTACATTATTTTTGGTTATTGATCGTACGAAAATACGAACAGCACCCAACAGTTTGCATTGACCTAGAAGATTGTTAACGATTAACAAGACGTGCATGTTAAGTTTATCGAACATATATACGTTATTTTATTAAATTTATAATTAAATAACATACAATAGTTATATGAATGTGTTATTTAAGTTGAAGTGTCTTTACAGCCATAAGTTGCTTAAAGCGCAATACTGTAAGCGCGTGCGCAAGTATTTTATTTCAATGTTTAATATTTAATGTTAGAATTATTGCTATAAAAATATGCTATGAAAAACGATGCCATCCATATTGAAACTTAACGTAAGAAATAATAAAATGGGTACAATGTGTCACTTTTGATAAAAGGATGATGGTAAAAAGGATTTACTGTCAATAGTTAATACAAAACTATTGATGGTACATTTATTTTGTCATTGATCTTCAATAAAAAGTAATACACTGTACCTAAACTTGCTGTAATCCAAATAACCTAGTTCTAACATGTGATTTGCGAAATTAACTTCCAGATCACATATTAGAATGCGGCAGATTCCTTATATTATTGGTTTGGCCTTAACTACCTAACACAAAAAACATTTATGCGCAAGACTCTTATTACAGTTTATATGAAGATTGGTCTAATGGTTGTGAGACACAGTTTTAAGGGTTGATCTTTTTTTTTTAAAATGAAGGATTTTTTCAAAATAACCGCAAAGAGAATAATAATCAAATTTATGTTGAGGAGAATATAATATTACATAATTTTGTATATGGTTTTCAGAAGTTTAACAAACTTAGAAAGAAACTTTGAATTAGAATTTAGAAAAGTTTTTGACCGATTCGGAGCTATAAAGACAAGAAATTTTTGTCAAGAAAAAAAAAGAAGGGCAAGAGGGAATAGAGAAGTAACTTAGGGGCCCGGATTAGGATTTTACGTATTGGCCTATTTTTTGTTGCTATGCTTCTGTATATAAGGAGTACTGTATACATCAAGCCTTTAAATTATTGATTTTTTCTAGGATTAGTTTTTGATTAAAGGTTTCTTTGTTGTTTTTTTTTGTTTTTTTTATCTAATTTATGTTCTTTTTTGGTCGTTATTAAAGAGCTCTCTGAAGACCTTACGATCTTGTTATAGAGCGCCACGAAAGAGCATTTGACTAGGAACGTCACGCCGGCTTCTAACATCTAGATTCTGAGCAAAAACTCTAACCACTGTGTTACGGCTGCTCTCTTATGGACATTGTATGTGGTACAATAGTGTTTTGTATATATTGTATATTATAAGTAATCTGCAAAATTATTTAGTAGATTAGCAGATTACTTATAAAAATTCAGCTGATTTTATAATTTGCTCTCTGGCTTGTACCATATAAATAAGCTTCTCAGCTAATCTGCTCTGCTTAGTAAGTGGCAGGGGCCCCGACTAAAAAATGCGACTATTTTTATAAGATTTAGCAAGGTTTGATAGCCGGGGCAAGAAAAAGAATTATAATACTTATTGTATTATTATTTTATGCTAACAATTACAACTTATTATATACTTGCATATATTTATATATTTTCAAACTCTAATTTACTTAAAACAAAATTACACTATTTAGTTATGAATTTAAAATAGAAGATATGTTAAAATACTAGAATATGATTAACTGAAGACTTCAAAAGTTGCAGGATGTATATAAAAAAAACATCAAGATGTGAAAATAATGCTTTTTTGATGTTTAAGGAAAAAAGCTGGGTTAATAAAAGTTTTTATAGCATGAAGGAACAGATACAGTAAAAGGATGCAACTTAATGAACAAGAAGCCAAGTAAGAATGAGTAGCAATGCCAAAAATATTGCAATACTTTTTTGCAGTTAATAGATCAGTTTTTTTGCCTAAAAAAAATTGTGGATTTTAAGTCCAGAATTTAAATCCACAAGTTACTGCAAGCTATAGGCTGTTACAGAAGAAAGACCAGATTTAAAACCGATTGCTTGTTCTAAGCAA